GCTGGCATGTGGTGCTGGGGATTGAACCGTGGTCCCTGTGCTTTGCCAAGCTTGTTTCAAGTAGGTGCTTTAGACCACTGAGCCATCTCTCCAGCCCAGTTATTTATTGTTGAACAGCCTTGAGCTGAAAGGGAGAACACATTTCTTAGAGTAGATAACAGGAAGCACAAGGTTTTTTTTAAAAAATAATTTTCCACAGTTAAAACACAAAACTCTGTTAACCCTTTACAATATTGTTATTTTTCTTTCATTCATGAAGGATAGTTTGGGTATAGAACTGGATTATAGAATTTCACTGTGTAGAATTCTTAGACTAGCATTGGAAATTCTTTGTGTTTTTTCTCAGTGCTTGAAAAGTGCACCACTGTTTTCTGACTTCTCTGTTTTCTGGTGAGTATTCCACTGTCACTTGGATTAGTGTTTACCTATAGGAAAAGTGACATTTAACTCTTGCAAACTTTCAACAATTTTTCTTTCTTGTTTATAGAAGTTTGTCTATGATCTATCATGTGAATTTTATTTATCCTGCTTACTTGTTTAATATATAGGCTTATTTCCTTTGCTAAATTGGGGGAGATTTCAGAGTTGTCTTTGAATATTGTTTCAGGACCGCCCCCTTGCTCCTTGTTCTCTGGAGCGCCAGTGGTATGAATGCTAGCTAACTCTGCTGGTGTAGTCTCGCAGACCCCTCACATTCTCTTGATAGTTAGGTTGAGTCTTACCTCTGTCCCTTCCATTCTGTTCTTGAACCCACCCAGTGAAGGCTTGGTTTTGTTTCTGATTACTCTGTTGCTCCGTCCTCAGACTTCCATCTGGTCCTTCCCTGTTTTTGTAGAGGTGCTCAGCTTTCTCCTTTCATTTCAGTGTGCTCATTACTGTTTTAAAATCTTAGTCAGATAAATCTGAGACCCACATCCTCTCAGTGTTCGTCTGTTTATTGTGATTTTTTTATTTGAGATTTCCAGGCAGGATAAGTCACTTACAGTGTGTCTTGGGAAACATTAAGCAGTACGAGCCTGGGCTACGTTAAAATCTCCTGTTTAGCAACCTCTTCTCACCCCGCTGGAGGAAGGGATATGCCATCTTGCTGCCGCCAGGAGGGACAAATGCAAGGCCCTGTTTGGTTGCTTGGTCACATGCCTGCTGAAATAGGGGCACCTCTCAGCTGCTTCCCATGAGACCTTTGCTGATAGTCCTGCTGCCTCAGGGGTGCTGATGAACAGCCTGGCTTCCCACTGCATCCTCCTTGCCCCAACCAATGAAGCGAACAAAGACAGAGCCCAGGTCCCCACGGCCTTTGCTGACGAGGTGGCGCAGTATTCCTCCTGGAAGTGTTTGTCTGGGGTCCAGGGATCATTGGCCTGTAAGTTTTCTGCCTTGCTGGGCTCACCCTTTCTTTGTGCTTTGTTTGGAGATAGCAGGCTTTTGGGGTGGGAATGGGGGCTCTTGGACACTCTCATCACCGCTTTTGGGTTACTGAGTTCTCTAGACTCTGGCGTAGAATATACAAGGCAAATAGAAAGCCAAGGAACTTACCACAGGCTGTGCCTTGAGTCCCAGGTTAGGTTACATTAAGTTATACAAAGGCAGCTGAAAAAGTCCCCAGATACTTGGAGATTAAACAACATATTTTAAAATAAGGATCAGGCTGGGGAGATAGCTAAGCAGTCTAAGCACCTGCCTGGCAAGCACAAGGACCCAGGTTCATTCCCCGGTACCACATGCCCAGAACCCCAGAAGCACCCTGCCCGCTACCAAAACCAGGTGTGGTGGCATACACCTATAATCCCAGCTCCGGGGAGGCTGAGACAGGAGGATCACTACAAGTCTGAGCTGTGTAGTGAAACCCTATACCAAATGAATGAATGAATGAATGTATGTATGTATGTATGTATGTTAAAATAAGGGTCAAGCTGGGCATCGTGGTGTACTCCTATCATCCCAGTCCTTGGGAGGCTGAGGCAGAAGGATTGCCATGAGTCCCAGGCCAGTGTCAGTTACATAGCGAGTTCAAGGTCCATCTAAAATACACAGCAAGACCCTGTGTCATTTAGCATATCAATGATTGCTGGAAAATACCTGTTCCACATTTTGTTTAAGACATTTGATATTCAGACAGATACTGATGTTAACCTCAAATGCCTATCTTATAGGGTAAAAATACCATTAAGCTTCTCTTCTGGAGGGTTAACAACTTAAATTTGCACAACAAAAAACTAGAGGAGGGGGCCTGCCCCTTAGCTCAGTACCTAAGGAGAGTCACCTAGAGAGAAAACATTCTCTCAGGCTTTCATAGAGAGCAAATTGGTCAAGCAATGACTGTGACTCATCTACATGGCTGACACTGACAAAGGATCTACGAACTGTAGTACAAGTTTCAGGGTAAATCCTGAGGGGATTTGACTGACCTTGTCAGATACAAAAGTTACATTTCTTGTTGTATAGATCTTGCTTTATGTTGGTCTTAACCATCCAGCAGAAAAGTATAAAAACGAGGCATAAAAAGTAAAGCCATATTAATATGCTGAGCTGTAAAAGGCTCAAGTCAGCAACTTCTGACATTGCCCGTCCTGTGGATAACCCACTACTATTATGGACTACTGGACTATATTGAATTATTTTGCTGAATTCACACACCTACAATATTTGAATGACAAGGGAATACCCATCTCTGACAAAAGTAAACAAAAATGGGGGATATAAATGAAGGACTGTTTTGTAGTAATTATATATATATATATATATATAATTGTCACCAAGGATGGCTATGGTACCTTTTGGGGGAGCTCTGGTCCTTACTTTGAGTGTCACCTCCTGGCTCCAGTGCAGCCCTTCAGCCTACTGCCACAGATCCTTTGCCCCACTAGCATAAACTTTCTAGCTTTCACCACTGACCTTTGGGCCTTCCCAGCACAGATCCATGAAACAGGCCTGCATGAGGCATTGTCCTGGGCTCTGGGCCTCCAGCTGGACTCCTGCAGGACAAGGCAGTGAGCTCTAGGTCCTCAGTTGGATTTGTTTGGTCTTTAGTGTGTGGACAGATCGCCTGCACTTTCTTTGTATATGAGTCTTTGGATGAATGTTATAAAATTGTGTGTCCTATATTGTTTCCCTGGCAAACGCTGACCACAACACTATCTTAACTCAGTTGGGTCTAAGGTCCTGATTATGAATGTCCAAGTAATGTCACACTGTTAGACACTGAAGGACAAAATTCAATCCCTATCTGGGGCAGTTCACCTTTGCCATATAACATGATTTATTTATGGGTTCGGAGGATAGGATGTAGACCTCAATAAGCACTGTATTTTAGACAAGATCTCTCTGTCATTGAGACTGGCCATAAACTCACCATCACTCTCCTGCCTCAGCCTCGCAGAGCTGGGACTCCAAGTGTGAGCTGCCACACCTGGCCAGGACACGCTAGCTGTGATAATTCCAGCAGCTGGAGCCTGTGGATGTGTCTGTACAGTCTGTGGTTTCTACTCTTTCTCATTCATGATTATATATATATA